ATCATTTAGGTTAATTACTAGAACATGGTGGTTAAGGCCAAAAAAAAAAAAAAATAGGCTTAAATTAGATTTTCAATGACTATGTCCACAGGGAGCACTTAAATTTACTAAGACATAAATTAACCATTCGTTTTTTCAGAGTTAAGCTCCTTTTGATGAAAATCTTAACTATTATTTCTCACATTTACCATGAAGACAAAGACAAGGAATAAATGCCCAAGTTAGGGAAATAAGAGACAAAAAGGACAACTTAAAGCAGGCAATGATCATCATTAACAAATTACAAACAGCAACTAATAAAATGGCTGGTGGAAAAAAGAAAGCAAATTGCAAGGTTATGAGAACAAACGACAATATCCTATCTTCCAGTCTAGAGCTGAGTGTTAGAGGCAGGATCAGGTCTCAGAGTTAGGTTTCTCTAAGGACAGGAAACACATCTTTATGTACCCAGCATGTGGTAAATATTGGGTTGTCAGGAAAGTCATGATGCATTTTGCATAGAAAAACACTTCATGACTTTGCCAACAACCTAATACATAATATGTGCCCAATACTTTAAAAATTTTAACAGAATGAGTGTTTATAGAAAAGTAATTTGGCAGAAGGAAATATGAAGGAAAAAGAAAGGTATGTGACATCCAGACATGTGAGGCTGCTTGATTACAGACTTATTAGGTACAGAGGCTGAGACTCCCAAGACCTTCCTTTTAGATAATCAAGAGTTGGATTTACAGGTCAGTCACAGGGCTGGGTGATTGGGAGAGCCAGGTCTCACATGACCGACCACTGTTCAAATTCAATCCTGATGACTTGATAAAAATACTGGATGCATGTGTGTTGTATCCCCAGAATCCCAACGGAATGGAGAAATGGAGGAGAAGGGATTGTAGCATGAACATGCCCCATTGGAAGATGCATTCTCTCTCTCTCTCTCTCTCTCTTTCTCTCTCTCTCTCTCTCTGGCAAGCACACAAGCCCTCTGGCAAATTGAAAGCCATAAAAATTCATATACATGTGTGTATCTTTTTACTTCATATAATGTATTTCCTTGGGAGAAGGAATTTGCAATCAATACATGCAGAGCACCAATTAAATAAAACCTTCCTCTCAAAGTTTTCAGAGCAAAAGCAGAACTATTGGTCCAAGATAAAAGATCCCAACCTTTGAATCTGGCAAAAGTGCCTTAAGATCCTTTAAACTTTAATATTCTGTCTGGAATAATCTATTGTTACCATGGCCCAGATATTGAGAGGAAGATTCATTAGAATTGAGGTGTAGTCATAGAAGAATGAAAGCTGTTAATCATGGGGTTAGATGTCATCCAGTCATTTTTCCAACCACTCTTACTAATGAAATCATAAGATAATAGAAATTTAGGATTAAATGAGGTATTAACACATCATCTAGAGTCTAGAGCAAAACACTGCATCAGATGTGTAACTATTCATAATTTGTTAATCTATTTCTTAGGTTTTAATAAAATATATTTGGAAGTGAGCAAAGAAAACCTGAATTTAGTATTTTAAAGTTGCTGGCAATTTTATTTCCAACTTGAATTTTTAAAATTATTTATCCAAGACCAAACATGTCCAGTATGAAATGTTCAGTTATTTGGGACATTTTGATGTTTTGCTTTTTCTTCTTTAATGTTTAATCATTTGTTTTGAAACTGACTTTAGACAACTGAGACAAAAGGACAAAATTAACAATCAGAAGGAAATGGTTAAAAAATATCACACAGGGCCAGCAGGTGGCATGGTGGTTAAGGTGCTGGACACTCCCACACGGCCAACCACAGTTCCAATCCAGGACCTGGTGACTTACTTTCTCACTTGCGACGAGATTGCCGCTGGGTGGTGAGTTGCCACCAATCGCCTTAAAGCCAAACAATGTTGACGGCTTTCCAAGTGGTGGTGTTTCATTATCATCTTCCTGTGCCCTTTCATCATTTTACGCAGAGTAGATGGTCTCCATAGTGACTTTAAAATTTCATATTCCTCTTATACCTTTATGAGTTTCCCACAACATTTGAGAAGATATGCAAGGTATATTCCATTTGGGCAAAAATAACATAAGGAATAATCACTGTCATGGCAATAATTTTGTATTGCAACCACAATTTTCTCTCTTTCTTTCATGAGAAACAAGAAAAACACCCTTCAGAGTCTTATGCCATGATCCACTCCTCTACTCTTCCCAGCCACCCAGGATCACTGCATGTACAGGCCAGCCCCATAGTGCAGTGGTTTAGTGCTGTGCACCAGGAGCTCGATCCCACATGTCCAACCGTGGTTCAAATCCAGCCCCAGCAGCTTGAAAGGCAGGAGTGCATGATGTCCTAAACCCTGATGCAATGGAAGAATGGAGGGAAAAAAGACTGTGGTGTGCCCAAAAAGGACTGAGGATGCCTCTCTCTCTCTCTCTCTCTCTCTCTCTCTCTCTCTCTCTCTCTCTCTCTCTCTCTCTCTCTCTCTTTCTCTCTCTCTCTCTCTCACATGTGCACACATACCCTCTGGCAAAAAAAAAAAATAGTATACTTATTTCATTGTATTATTTTTACCTTTCCATTTAGATTCTGCTTCATTGTTAATTTTTTAATATTCTCCTTTTATAACTTTTTGGAGAGAAAATATTGCCACTTACAATTTTCATCAGCCAAGGATCAAAGACACTAGTGTTCTTTCCGGGAATAGCAGTGGTGTTGAAGAAGAACAATCTCGATGTAAATCTGTGGTAACAAGAATATACAACAAAGCTAAGAAATCCTTCACTTAAAAGTCACAAGTCAAGGAACCAGCAGTTGGCATTAATGGCTATGTTGCTGGACTCCATGTAGTCGACCACAATTCAAGTCCCAGACCCGGTGGCTTAAATTCACGCTGGGGCACATGTGCGTGCGTGCCCAAGATCCCAAGAGGAGAGTAGAGGAGAAGGGATTGTGGCGCAGCCATCCCCCTGGGAGGTGATTTCTCCCTTTCTGTCTCTCTGTCTCTGGTGAGCGCACATTCTCTATAGCAAAAACCTCTCCAAAAAAAAAAAAAAAATCACAAGTCAAGGTCCTTTTTGGCTTTGTATGCTTCTTCCAATTAATCAATCTTAACCTGTGACCACTAAATAAAAAATTGTCTGAACAGTGGGGGAAAAAAAAAACATATATATCACATATACACTACTTCTCTGCTAAATGGTGAAAACTATGGTCACAAACATGTGTCTCTGCTGGTTCTAGGGGAATTTCTTCCTCACTAGCAAGGGTCAGCCACTTGATTCTTCCAACTCTTCTAAAGCAGACAAGAGGAAGACATTGTACTCTAACATTTCTCTATGGCTTACCATGAATTACAGCTAAATTTCAAAAAATGACATCTTTCCCCCTGCAGTCCAAGACTTTGTTTAAATGATGAGGTCATAGATGTTTAACATTTCACAAACCTGTCAATTATGTAAGTCCCTGCATCTAGTACAAGACAGAAATGACTCTGATAAGACTTTCTGGAGAGTCATGGGCAGTCTCAAAAAAATAGTTCCAAAAACTATGTCCTGCTTTAGCTCTGGAAATTTATCACTTACATCTCTGAGATACAGTAGAACACTGCTGTATTCCCAAGTAGATGCCTTCCACAGCCTACAGTGGGTAGAATTCATTTGCTAACAAAAAATTTAAAGGCTCAGCTGCAGCGAGTGGTGCATGATGCTAAAAAACTGTTCTCTACAGAATGGAGCCACACGGGACCAGGATTTGATTCCCAGTCCAACCTAGAGATGGACATGGTGGAGTACACCTGTAATCCTGTGACTCAGAAAGTCTGAGGCAGGAGAATCACAAGCTCAAGGCTTCCCTGAGCATCATAGCAAAATCCTATCTAAAAAAAGAGCCAAATCTGGTAGCACATTTTTGTAGTTTCTGCTGGGAAGCCAAGACAAGAAGATCCTGGGGAGAGCCTGTCTTGGGGGGGG